CTGTACTACTTGTACAAAAATTCTCGAATGGCAAAGGCTTTTTTGTGTTTAGGCATTAAAGTTGTACATAGATTATATTGCTGTGTATGGTTTCCAGTCATGCACATTCTTTTTTTATCCAATTTTTTTCCTACAAAAACAGTACAAATTATTTGAAAATCGTTAGTTCTGTTCACATAGAAGAAACATTCTGGAGTTTGTCCCTTTGGAAATTTTCATTTGGAAGGTCTCAATCGGCTGTTGAAAGCTGTGTACAGATTATACAAAAATCGCACAATCGTTCCTCGTATGGAAATGTTCACCCGATTTCCTTATAGTGTGTACCCAGCTCAAGTCCGGGACCTGGGATACATATGCAGATAAAATGTCTAACTTCGTCTGACCCTCCTGATGTGCATACTGGTTCTAGATCAGTGACTCAGAAAGGGAACATGAGCTTTGCTGCTTGGAGAGCTGTAGCTCTGACTCAGACCTCTGCAGAGAGACCACTGCTTCCGCAAAGAGAACAAGAGTCCTCCTCTACTGCATGCAGGCAGGGAGCAGCTTGTTTTTCAGGCTGTGGATGTTTTATAAAAAAAGCAAACTGCAGGACATTGCACACCGTTAGTTCTGATGCACCTGGAATATATTTAGCAAATCTCAACTGAATTTTTTATTTGGCTTTAGCCCGGGTTCACATACATGCGGTGCGGTATATCACATGTGATTCGCATAGGAACCGCACCGCATTCCTGTACAATCACATGCGATTTGTATGCGGTGCGATCGGAGCCGTACATTTTCTATGGCTCTAATCAAACTGCACCCGCACCAAAAAGGTGCAGGACCCTTTTTTGGGTCTGCACTAGAATCGGATCGCGTGGGTAATTACACCTATGCGATCCGATTCTGCACATTGCACTGCATTTGCGGACCGCTTTTGGGGTGTTGTTAACGTAATGTACACACCCGCAGCGGATCACATGAACGGGGTGCAATTGTGATGCGGTGCAAAATTCGCACTGAGAACGCTGCGAATTCCGCACCTCATCAGTGTGAACCAGGGCTCAAGGCTCCATGTACACAAGCCTACCCTGACCGCCGGCCATGGGAAAATACTTTTCCCGTGGTCGGCGGTCAAAACGTTCCTATGCTGAATGCGATTCTTCTGCGTTCAGGAGAGGGAGGTTTAACTGCACCTAACAGCGGCAGCTCCTAAGCGCTGCTAAAAGCCGTGGGTACATGGACACGTAGGCTTTTACGGAGTTGAGTTTAGGAGCTTTGGCAAAAAAAATGCCAAAAGCTCCTAAACTTGAGTTTAGCATCAGCTCGTGTACATGAAGCCTAACGTGTTACTAAACCCACAACAGTGAAATCAGTCTGTAGATGCAGTAAAGCATGCTTGTTATACTCCCTCTGGAACCTAAGGGGTTAATCCTCTGCATTGTGTAAAAAGGCTGTTTGATCCTGTCTTCTCTGATCCTCCTCTTCTTCCACTGTCCCCAATCCATCTGTTGATAGAACAGAGCTCTAAGAGTCACTCTGCACATGCTCAGTTTGGTGTGTATTGCTAGAGAGTTTCTTTTTTTTCTTGGGAGAGTGCATGTGATCAGCACAGGGCCAATCAGCACTGTCCAGATGGAGGGTCAGGGGTTATGCAGCCTCAGCCCTGGTTCACATTAATTCGGTGCAGAATTTGCAGCGTTTTCAGTGCGAATTCCACACCGCATCACAATCGCAACCTGTTTATGCGAACCGCTGCGGGTGTGTATGTTAACAACACCATGACATTGGTCCGCAAAACGTAGAATCGGATCACATAGGTTCACATCTGATTCTAGTGCGGACCAAAAAAGGGTCCTGCATGTTTTTGGTGCGGGTGTGGTGTGAATAGAGCCATACAAAATGTACGGCTCCGATTGCACCGCACACAAATCGCATGTGATTGGCACAGGGGTGGACTGACCATTTGGGAACTTAGGCACTGCCCGAGGGTCCGGGGTCAGTAGGGGGCCCCATGAGATGCCCCTGGTACCTTTTCATAGGCTTTTTTGGGTGTGGTTTGAGTGTGGGCGGGGGCCCCATGAGTTGTCAGTCCACCCGTGTGCAAATCACATGCGATGTGCCGCACCGCTGTAGTGTGAACCTAGGCTGATGGGACGGTCAGAGGAGAATGAAAACACTTCCTACAAGCTTTAACCAATTCTCAGCTGGACACTGATAGAAGTCACAAGACTGCTCTAACTGCTGATGAGAAAAGGTATTTAGCAGTTTATATTTACTGAAATAATTGCATTTCCATGTTCTGTGTACTGTGGGAGGTTCCTGGGTTTAGTAACACTTTCAATGTACTAGTTCCCTGGCTGTCATGTCCATCCTGTGGCTTCATCACTAAGTGATTCAACGGATCCAGAACAAGCAGGCAAGCCAGGACATATGACTTTGCTGGCCACATGCTTGTAAGGTCAGATACTTGACAGAGAATCTGTAGGATGAACATGACAGTCTGGGAACTAGCAAAATCTAAAAGAAGCCAACAGAGGCACCTCCTGGATATCTATCATGACGGTTTTGGTTCTTCTTTCACAAGACATAAAGCAATATGAAAAGGGCAGTAATACAGCAACCAGTCAGTGATGGAGGAAGGATGAAATATGATTGGTCGGTATTCCCCCCCCACACACCACTGCTCTATGTGCCGTGCGCTATACCTTGTATGCATCTACCATATGACGCCTTGATGGATTTTACATGCATTTAGCTGCTGGCGGAATTTACAGGCTTAGATCAGCTATTTTTTGGTGGGGGGTGGAGGATGGGGGAGGGGAGTATACCACTTTAACCTATGAGATGCTTATTCTTAGCCTTCTATGGTCAGGAAGGTATTTTGTGGTCCTGATACTTGCACAGGCTTGCAGGGATCATACGCCTATTGTTCTGGACGCCAGCAGACAATCAGCTCAGGTGTCACAGTCATTTATAAGGATAGCATTACGTCTGCTAATTACCTTTAGCTTTTTACAGCCTAAATCCATTAAAAAGTGAAGTTGCCCTTTAAATCCCCCCCTGGAAGTGGAAGCTACCTACCTTAACTACTTACCTTCAGCTCTGCTGCTGAATTCTTCACTGGCTGAGGCTCTCAGAGCAAAAGTGTAAAGGGCAACTTAGGCTGGCCATACACTATACAATTTTCTGTCCAATTTCCTTTAGATTTACCTTCAACTATGTAGTGCAAGAGCCTGTCTGATTGGATACAACTGAAAGTGTTGTTAGATTTAACCTCCTATTATATGGTTTTTGGTAAATCTAAACCACAAATCTCAAGAAAATTGTGTAATGTATGGCCAGCCTTAACCACCTCCCGTCCGGCCATTGTATATAAACGGCCGGACGGTGGCAGTGCAGGGTCGGGTGGCAGTGCAGGGTCGGGTGGCCGTTTATAAACGGCCTCCCCGCCCCCTGCTTGTGCGCGCTCCCTGGGACCGCGCAGCACCACGATCCGGTGCCCGCAGTGTTCTCCGGACACAGTGGAACACTGATCGTCGGACGGGACCTCTGTATGAGGTCCCGATCATGTGATCACTGATTGGCCCATCAGTGATCACATGCAAAGTAGTAAGCAAGATGTCACTTCTGACATCATTGCTTACTATGTGTGAAATCTGTGAATGATCACAGAGGTCACATGGTACAAGGCTATTCACAACAGCCTTGTACCATGTGACAAGCTGTGACCAATCACAGCTCACACAGTAGTTCTCAATGGCTGCAAGAATGCAGACAGAGAGAAAGAGAAATGATTGCTTTTACAGCCTTTATAGGTGTATAAGCAATCAGTGTAAAAAAAAAATCTTCATCACCCCCCACAAGTAGTACAGTGTCACCATGGTGACACTGTACTGCTAGGGTGACAGTATGTAAAAAAAAAAAAATAAACATAAATAATAATATAAAAAAAAAATAAAAATGTAAAAAAAAAATGTTTAAAAATTATAATTTTTGGTTATAAACTAATTTGGGTTATTTTTTTTTTTTTTACTAAAAAGATAACGGAATAAATTTTGGCCAAGATTTATGAAGAAAGATTATTTATTTGCAAAATTTTATAAGAAAAAACACTTTTTTTCAAAATTTTTGGACTTTTTCATTTACATAGCAAAAAAAATAAAAATCCCAGCGGTGAATAAATACCACCAAAATAAAGCTGTATTTGTCTCAACAAAATGCTAAAAAAAATTCATATGGGTACAGTGTTGCATGGGTAGAGTTTGTATGGCTCAAATCGCATCGCACCGCACCAAAAAAGCGCAGGACCCTTTTTTTTGTCCACGCCACAACCAGATCGCACAGGTATTCACACCCATGCGATCCGAATCTGCACATCGCACCGCGTTTTGCGAACCGATTTTGAGGCGTTACCTTAAAATACACCACCCGCAGCGGTTCGCATGAACGGAGTGCATATATGATGTGGTGAGGAAATCGCGCAGAAAACATTGCGAATTCCACACCGCATCAGTGTGAATCCAGGCATACGCCTCCCCGTCCTACATACAGCGATCGGCTGTGCTCAATTGTTGGAAACACACTGACACAAAGCTGTATGAACAACTACAGCCGCCCTCCATACTCTTCACCACCGCAATATGTTCTGTATGTCATTATAGAATCCCCCTTTCTGCTTCATACTTGAAAATCATAAATATCACCAACAGAGAATGTTTGCTACACCCCGACACTGCCACGTCGAGATCTGGTTATAATGATCCAGACAGTCGCCGTTGTTGCTGTGGTTTTTTTGGGAAGTTACTTTGACTTGCCAAGTTTTTTTTTTTTTTCTTGGTCTACAATTGTGCAGAGCTCTCAGCACAATACTAAATCATATCATGAATTCATGTGTGGATCACAGCGCCCCCTAGTCTTCTCAGGTGGTATACGTCGTAAGCACAATTGATGAAATATTGTCTCCTTTTCCTATTCACTTCTGAGCACTTTGCTGTGCGATTTGCAGGACCCTGCATTCACTATATCTGGTCTCCCCGGACCCTGCATTCACTATATCTGTCTCCCCGGACCCTGCATTCACTATATCTGGTCTCCCCGGACCCTGCATTCACTATATCTGGTCTCCCCGGACCCTGCATTCACTATATCTGGTCTCCCCGACCCCGCATTCACTATATCTGGTCTCCCTGGACCCTGCATTCACTATATCTGGTCTCCCCGGACCCTGCATTCACTATATCTGGTCTCCCAGGACCCCGCATTCACTATATCTGGTCTCCCTGGACCCTGCATTCACTATATCTGGTCTCCCCGGACCCTGCATTCACTATATCTGGTCTCCCCGGACCCTGCATTCACTATATCTACTCTCCCAGGACCCCGCATTCACTATATCCGGTCTCCCTGGACCCTGCATTCACTATATCTGGTCTCCCAGGACCCTGCATTCACTATATCTGGTCTCCCCCCGGACCCTGCATTCACTATATCTACTCTCCCCGGACCCTGCATTCACTATATCTGGTCTCCCCGGACCCTGCATTCACTATATCTGGTCTCCCCGGACCCTGCATTCACTATATCTGGTGTCCACGGACCCTCATTCACTATATCTGGACCCTGCATTCACTATATCTGGTCTCCCCCGGACCCTGCATTCACAATATCCAGTCTCCCCGGACCCTGCATTCACTATATCTGGTCTCCCCGGACCCTGCATTCACTATATCTGCACTCCCCGGACCCTGCATTCACTATATCTGGTCTCCCCGGACCCTGCATTCACTATATCTGGTCTCCCCGGACCCTGCATTCACAATATCCGGTCTCCCCGGACCCTGCATTCACTATATCTGGTCTCCCCGGACCCTGCATTCACTATATCTGCACTCCCCGGACCCTGCATTCACTATATCTGGTCTCCCCGACCCTGCATTCACTATATCTGGTCTCCCCGAACCCTGCATTCACAATATTCGATCTAAATCCAGTGCTGTGCTGAAGAGCAGCGGCTGCTCCCTCTCTTCTCACTGGACATGGAGGAAGCAGCCACAGCCACTGGTTCCTGCTGCTGTCAATCAAATCCCGTGAGGAGGCAGTGGAGGCAATGCCAAGCAGCACTGTGTGTTTCAATAGACTCACACAGCCCGACGCACGGTTGAGCCCTCATAAGTGCCCACATAGGAAGTAGCTTTCTATGGTGGCACATGTAGAAGTGGAAGAGTCCAGAGCGCTGGCAAGGGACCCAAGAAGAGTAGGATCGGGGTCACTCTATGCAAAACCCTTGCACAGAGCAGGTAAGTATGACACGTTTGGTATTTTAAAAAGATAACTTTACAATCTTAAACCCAAACTTTAATATATTGCAGCTTACCAATGTTAATGGTGGTGACTGCTTTAGTTTTCTTACTTTAGGGCTGGCTCACTCCGGATGCAGTCCAGTGCATTTTGTTTCTGCAGCAAAAATGCTCGCACAGTGTTTTCCACGTAAATTCCAATGGACCTAGTTCTCATCAGTGCAGTCAGCTCCAGTCCGTTTCTGGTGTAGAAAAAAGTTGAACATGCTGCATTGTTTCTGCACAGAACTGTACTGGAACACAGCAAAACGCATAAAAAATGCACCGGAACGTGCATCCAGAGTGCATTTTTGTGGTGTGAACTGGCCCTTTTTTTTTCCCCCTCTGTTTTCACCTGGCTATCTGGCCAGTAACACACGTCCTGTATTAGAGTACCCCCTCTCTGGATGAAGGAGCACAGGGGGCACCTTAGGACCGCAGCATTGTCAGTTTGGGGGGAAGGGAGTGTTAGATGGACTGGCAGATTTAGATACACTAACAAATGGAAGCCAAATTCCAGCTCACACTTTATAATCAGTTACAACAAACAGTATTTTTCCACTTGGGATAAAGGTTTTACATAAATATATAAAAGCTGATCATTGTAAGCACCCCTATCAGTGGTAAATGGTTTGCCCCATCCCTGTAAACGGATACATTCTGCAGGAAAGCTTGTTCTTTTGAAAAACAACAGACTTTACTGGCTGGATTACCAGATGAAATTAGAAGAAAGAAAGCGCAAGAAAGAAAACTAATGCGGCCAACACATCTAAGAATTGGTAAGCTGCAATATAATAGATGTTTGCCTTTGGGTTCAATACTGCTTTAATCCTCAGTCACTGAACATTGAGGAACCTCAGCTGATACACGGGTAAAATCTTGTAGTGGACTGGATGTGGCCAGAGGGCCGTAGTTTGGAGCCCCCTTGTTCTTATATTGTTCTTCTGACCATTGGGAAAGTCAATCCACCTAAACCTACATAAAAGTGATATGTAAGTTATAGCTGGAGACCAGTGGACTGAGTTTGGATTACAGTGTATACCCTGAATGCTCAATCAAGTTATGTTGTAAATGTAATTTTTACATCCTCCATATTAAGCAGCCTATTCGTTTCTTATTTGTTCGTTACAGAAGAATTTCAGATTCCAACCCCCCCCCCCCCCCACACACACACACACACTTTTTTCTCAACCAAATACAATGGGCTTGGGTTATCTTATCATTTTTCTGTAAAGCACCTGATTGTCACTGTTCCTATTGTGCTGCATTATTTACAAAAAAAGTTATATTGAGTGACAGGTTCACTTTAATTTCTTCAATGCACCACAACTACGAGTACCTGATTTGGAGTGCCATAGTTGGAGAGTCCAGGTCTATAGAGGTAGAAGGGTTTCAGCCAGCGGTGGACTGACAACTCATGGGGCCCCCGAGCAATAGGGGATCATGGGGCCCTGTGTCCTCGCCAACCAAAAAAAAGCCTATGAAAAAGGTACCAGGGGCATCTCATGGGGCCCCCTACTGAACCCGGGCCCTCGGGCAGCGCCCAAGTTTCCAAATGGTCAGTCCGCCCCTGGGTAGAAGGCTTTCAGCCAGGGGCGGACTGACAACTCATGGGGCCCCCGGGCAATAGGGGATCATGGGGCCCCTGTGTCCTTGCCCAAACTCAAAAAGGCCTATGAAAAAGGTACTAGGGGCATCTCATGGGGCCCCCTACTGACCCCGGGCCCTCGGTTTCCAAATGGTCAGTCCGCCCCTGGTTTCAGCCCTGGTTCACACCAGTGCGGCTTTTAAATCGCACTACTGCAGCACGATTTCAAAGCCGCCGATCAGTGTGATTTTGATGTGCAATTTCATTGAGGCTTACGAGTTCATTTACCATTTACCTTCATTTACCAGAAGTCAATGGAATTCGCAAATAAAATCACAGAAAAGTAATGCAGGAACCTTTTTCAAAGTTGTTGCAACATGAGTTGCAATGATTTGAATGGTTCCATACCCTGCCAATAGGGTACGACTTGTCAAGCAATTTTGAACTGTCAATTCGCATGATAAATCGCATTGGTGTGAACCAGGGCTTGTACTGTAAAGGTTCAGTAATGCCCAACAATGGTAGAATTATGACCTCTAGTGGTTTGTTTTCAATTCACACCCTTGACTTGTCCCCATTGTGTTTGAACATCCAACTTTGTGTGAGTCAAATGTGTCCTCCAAACCTTTAAGAATAGTATGGAAAAAAAAAAAGAGAAAGCAGTGCATTTGCATTATTATAGTAAATCAGAAATCCCAGCACATACAACTAACATACTCATTCATCTCCTTTGCAATCATATCTATCCTTGCTCCCCTCTTCATGGCTGCTGGAGACATTATGCCAAAATCCTGCTCCCCTTTCATTCATGTACAAGGTGTGACAATTTAATTCCTGGAGTGCCTAAAGTATGGCACAATGGTGATCAGTCACACAGCCATTCACCATCGAGCGTGTTCTGACATGTTCTATCTGGCACTTGCCTGAGTTGCAGAACAGTTGACTCAGTCTTTATGGAGCAGTAGAAGAAATAACACGTGTGTCTGCATTGCAATGTTGGCAGAAAATGAGTGACAGCAATCTGGAGCAGTGGATTAACATCAAATTTTGTGTTAAAATTGGCAAAAGTGGGAGTGAAACTTTAGTTGGGTTACAACAGGCTCACTGTGAACATTCCATGAAGAAATCAAGTGTTTGGAATAGCATAGATGGTTTAAGGAGGGGAGGGAAGATTTTCACGAAGTGGGCAGCCGAGAACACAAAAGATGGATGCAAATGTGGATGAAAAAAATGAAAAGGTTATGGGAATCTTTTCAGAGGAAAAGATCATAACTCTGGCCCTAACAAATGGATTCTCCACCACGACAATGCCCCTGCGCATAATGCATTAAATGTTCGCAAGTTCCTTTCCCAGAAATCTATTCCAAAACACCTTATTCCCCTGACCTAACACCCTGCAACTTTGACTGCTCGTAAAATTTAAAAATGTTAAACTTCCAAAAGGCCTCAAGGTCAATACTAATAAGTGGTCCAGGAGTCCCTAATCAAGGATCCAATAATAAACCAAACTAAAAATGACTCAGCCAGGATTAGTGGGTTTATTCAGTTTTTCCACTGACATACAAATGTCTTTCTCCTGAATTACTGATGAGTTTTGTTTGAAATGCCTTAAAGAGTCCAGTGTCTCCTTAAGATCTTTGTCAATATCTATCATTTATTGTTCATAAAAATCTTGCAATAATCGCACCATATTATGGGAGCATCTGCCGTAATCTCTGTAATCTTAGGGAATATCTGTACACTTGGGCCTCTCAGATAAACCCGTTCCTTCAAATATTTCCTAAAATAGGAAATATTCCACCAGACCCTCGATTTTCTTTCATAAAGAGCTTTTAATTGAAATATAGGTTTGAACTGTTCAATCTCTTTAGCCTTATCCCCAGGTCATGTCTCATTCTCCAACTCCAACCTCCCCACCATTTCTTCCCAAAATTTGGTGTCCATAGCGGAGAGAGAGAAGAAAAGAAAAAAAAAAAATTGTGTGAATAATAAAATTAAGTAATTGTAAATATGTCAACAGCAACCTGTATCTCATAAAATTAGAAACACGTAAACATTCAAAAAAGGAAAGGAAAAGACTGAGACTTGGAGGACTATAGTCCACCTGTTTTCATAATTTTAAACCTCCAAAAGGCCTCAAGGTCAATACTAATAAGTGGTCCGGGAGTTCCCAATAAAGGATCCAATAATAAACCAAACTAAAAATGACTACTTACAGACTCAACCAGGATTAGTGGGATTTTTGTGTTATAAGTGTATATATTAACTACTTGCCAACCGCAGAGAGCCGAATGACGGCTACACTGCGGCCGGCTAGTTCTGGGAGGGTGTCATATGACGTCCTCCCAGAATGCGCTCACCTGCGTGCCCCAGGGGGGCACGCACCCGGCGATCTCCATGATTGCTGTGTCCTACGGACACAG